TGTCCTTCTCCACCAAACAGCACCTTGAGGTCGGGACACCGGGTTTGTGCTGCTCACCACTGTATCCCCAGGGCCTAGCGCACAGTAGGTGCTCAAAACGTTATTTCACTAGCGGAATGAATTAATAGAAAATATGCATACAGGTTTTTGCAACTGTCTTTAATGCTGGCAACGTCCCTAGGAGATGGTATTACTATTCTCCACCAAGGAGAGAGAAACGAAGGTGCAGAGAAACACGGGGACTGGGAATGAATGGCTGAGCCGATGCTGGGACAAACATCCATCACTGGACCAAAGGTCTCTTCCACACAGCACTGCCCTGCTGGGTGTCAGAACCTCTGTTTCCCGCCTATCAAAAGAGAATGTTGGATTAGAGCAGAAGATGGTTTCAGAAGAAGTTATTTCACTGAACGTGCTGTACCCAGTGCTGTGCTTGGCAGTGTGAACGAGACAGCCCCTGCCTCCACATTAAATTCCTGGTAACCTGCTGAGCCCTATCCCTTCCTGGGAATTCCTCCCGAACCCCACCCCACCCCACCCCCAAATCAGAAGAAGAAAAAATTAGAAGCACTCTCCTCAAACAAGGCTACCTTGCCCAGCTGGCAGTTTGGGGGCATGTCCAGTGGATTTCCCTGGGGGAACCATGAGGAGTATTATTAAGCAAAGTGACTGGAGCAGAGATGCTGTTTTCTTGCAGGGAGTCCTTGGGAACTCCCCAGGTGGGTCTTTTGATTGAGAGAGATGGTGTCTGAGATGGGATGAAGGAGAGGGTTCCTCTAACAAAGGAGGGTGTGGGAACTGCTCCTGGAGTTGGACAGGGGGAGGGGTGATCTGAGAAAAATGCTGTCTGAGGTCCTGTCTCAGGTACAGTGAGAAACCGGATTCAGGCATGCAGAGGAGCCAGCCTGATGGGGTGAGTGAGCTCTCCCTGTGTCTGTGTCTTCACATAGCCTTTTTTTTTTTTTTTTTTCCCCAGCTAGAATGCCGTGGTGTCAGCCTAGCTCATAGCAGCCTCAAACTCCTGGGCTCAAGCGATCCTCCTGCCTCAGCCTCCTGGGTAGCTGGGACTACAGGCACACGCCACCACACCTGGCTAATTTTTTCTATTTTTAGTTGTTTGGCTAATTTATTTCTATTTATAGTAGAGATGGGATCTCACTCTTGTTCAGGCTGGTCTCGAACTCCTGAGCTCAAGCAATCCTCCCACCTCGGCCTCCCAAAGTGCTAGGATTACAGGCGTGGGCCACCATGCCTGGCCCATATGGCCTTCTTATAGTGACACCCGTACTAACCCAGTATGACCTCATCTTAACTTGATTACATCTGCAAAGACCCTATTTCCAAATCAGATGACATGCACAGGTATCCATGGTTAGGACTTCAACATATCTTTTTGGGGGACACAATTCTACAAGGCTCAGGGAGGAAAGAACATTCTGACTAGAGGGGAACAGCAAGAGCAGAGGCCATGAGGCCACCCCGCGTGGATCCACCTCCTGGCTGCCCACTGTCGTCTTGGGTTTCAACAGCTCATCTTGGATCCTGGTCCCTGACAGCTGCCTAAGCAGAGCCAGGCTGGTGCCCACCCTCTGGGTAACAGGCCTTCTCAGGCCTCCTTTTCTAGCTGACCCTGCTCTAGCCTCATGCCCGAGGAGGGCCCTGCCAGCCCGTCCCTCCTCCCCTGCCTTCCTGGTCCTCACCCTCACCCTCGTCCGAGATAGACAAGGACAATAAAAGCTGTTTCACAAGCAGCTGGTGATTAATCGCCAAGTTAATTAAAGAGGCAGTAATTGCACTCTGATTTCAGAGGAAGGAGCGATGTCTTGGGCAGGGGTGGGTGGTCAGCTTAGGTCTCCTTGACGAGGTGGAGCCAGAGGACGGAAAGGATTTGAAAAGGCAGGAAGAAAAAAGAAGTAACATTTTTTTTTTAAGTGGGTGCTTCAACCATGGCTGTAATGTTTTATTTGACAGACTTAGGTGGTGGGCTTAGATTTTTAAGCTTGTCTGTGTGCTTTTCCATGTCTTTGAAATATATCATTAACAACAACAACAACAAAATGGCAGGCAAGGTTAAGTTTTTCTAAACTCTCATTTGGGATTTATAAATGGCCTCAAATACCAGGGTACCTCACTTTACACAATGGACAGGGTCTTAAAATTATGTGTAAATCGAATCCCGTTTGCCCACCCACTACATCTTACCACCACCGATGCTCTATCTTCATTTCTGATTGATTTTCCCTGGTAGAGGCACCAAATTCTTTGCTTTAAGTGTCAGGCTCTCTCTGTCAAGTAGTTAATGACCTATAAAGCACTTACAACGTGCTGGGGAGATGCTATTTGGAGGCACCCCGCCGAGTATCCTCTCCTATTGTCGGTAATCACCCCTCATTTATTTGCTCTTATTGGTTTGGAATTTGCTATCAGGTTTCCCTAAAGCCCAGCCCACCAGGACTGGTGCGATTCTGTGCGGGCCCAGATGGGTGCTGCACTCGATACCCAGGGGCAGTGGCAGCAGCTGTGGCCTCTTCTCTCAAGAGCCCTTCAGCTTGGGTGCCCTGGCCATCTCTTGGCCACACGTCCCCCAGCTCTGCCTTTTGCCAGCCGAGTGATGTGGGGCATTCCTCTACCCTTTCCAAGCCTCAGTTTCCTCCTTCACTCTGCCCCCAGAGCTGGTGCCTGCCCTTGGGCAACTGGAGGATGACACCAGCCTGGTAAGGTCAGTGCTGGGAGCCAGAGAAGAGGCCCAAGGTCAGGGTGAGGACAGAGGCTCAGCCTGGGAGGCTGAATAGGCCCTCCTAGGAGGGAAAGGGTATTCATTTTCCACGGCTGCTGTAACCAATTCCCACAAACTTAGTGACTTAAAACAACACACATTTTTTTCTCTTACAGGTCCGGAGACCAGACATCCAAAATCAGTTTCCATAGGCAGAAACCGAGGTGTTTGCAGGGCCACATTCCCTCCAGACACTTAGGGGAGTATCCGCTTCCTTGCCCTTTCCTGCTTCTAGAGCTAAATTCCCTGGCTATGGCCCCTTCTTTCATCTTCAAAGCCAGCAGCGTGGCATCTTCAAATCCTTTCTCTGGTTCCATCCTCACATTGCCGCTGCCCTGGCTGTAATCTCCCTCTGCATCCCCCTGGCGAGGACAGCTGTGATTATAATGATCCAGGATAATCTCCCCATCTCAGGATCCTTAATCACATCCGCAAAGTCTTTGCCATATAAGGTAACATTTACAGGTTCCAGGGATTAGGATGTGGACAGATATCTTGGGGGTCATTACGCAGCCTACCACAGAAGGCCACCAAGCAAAGTGGTTCAGATCACAGATTCTGAAGCCACTGCTAGGGCTTGCATCGCAGCTGCACCATCCGCCAGCTAGGTGGCCTTGGGCAAGTCGCTACATCTCTCTGAGGCTCAGTTTCCTCACCTGTAAAATGGGATCAACACTTATATCCAGATAAGAACTCAGTAGGCATTTAACTAGTTATTAGGCAGAGAGAGCTTCAAGTGCCAGAGCCTGGAAGTTGAAAGAGGACCCAGAAGGGCTCTTCTGAAGGAGGGAGGGAGGAGGGGCAGGCTGGGGTGGAGGGAGCTGAGCCAGGTTCCAAGGAAGGAAGTGTGTGTGTGTGCGCGCGCGAGCAAGCTCTGTCCTAGGGGTAAAGAACAGGTGACAAAGAATGTGTTTAAATAGCTTTTTGTTTGTTTTTGGTTTATATTATTGAAATGTAATTCACATATTATAAAGTGCACCCTCTTAAAGAGTACAATTCAGTGGTTTTTAGCACATTCACAAGGCTGTGCAACCATCACCACTATCTAATTCCAGAACATTTCTATTACCCCTAAAGAAGCCCCGTACCCGTTAGCAATTCCCTAAAGCAAGGCAGTTTTAGGATGGCACACCCTGATGCTCTCCATGATTAAACCCCAGGCTTGCATCCAGAAAAAAGACAGGGGCACCCTGAGCCCCGAGAAGTGGTGGGGAGAGTAGAGCCTCAGGGGCCACAGTGGCCTGGGGTCAGCTTCCCCTTCAGCCCCTCACAGCTTCCTTTCCTTTCTTTGTCCCCTGAGACAGGGATACTCCACTGCACAGGACGATGGGAGGCCGCCCAGCAAGGGCTCAGGGCTCAGGACTCACTCTGCATCACCACAATTACCGTTTTTATTCCTGGGCCTGCACTTGGCTCCAGTGTCAGCCCCCGTCCCCAGGACTCAGCCGCATAGACTGCCCTAACGGATCAGGGAGGCCAGCGGCTCTCCTGGCTGCACTGCAATCACATGGCACTTTGGGGTTCCCCACCCATAGGACGCAGTAGGCTGCGGGGCCACTGGAGGAAGGTGGGGGCATTTGAGGCTGAGTGCTGACTGAGCAGCCCTGAGCCTCCTCCTCCAACCCAGCCACTCTTGGGATGGCTGTGACCAGGCTGGAACTCGAGGGACCCACAATGGGGTGGTTGCCAGTGCTCCCACCACCCACCCCTGGCTGGGCTGGCCAGTTTTGCTGGCTACTTGGAGGGCCCCAGGCCTTAAATGGCCAGAGTGTCAGTCTGAGCCTGGAGACATCGAGGGGAGGCCATCTGGTGAGGCCAGAGACAGCGGTCAGGACATTGCCAAACTTGCAGAGGTGTCCCCTGGCAGTGACAGGGGCTTCCAGGATTAATTAGTAGAACCACCCTAATAGGCCTCACAGCCCTGATGCACAGTCTGCAGGCCCGTGTCATCGGAGCCTCTTGACAGCCAGGAGTTGAATGGGGGCGGGAGGACAGCTGGCTTTTCCCTTGTGCCTGGCCTGGCCTCCAGCAGCTTGGCACAGAGCCACCCCGTCCCCATTAGATAGGGGGTGTTGGCCTTCCAGGACCTGCACTTGGTGTCGTGGGTGCAGCATGTCTGTCTCAGTTTTCACATATGTAAAATGGGTCACATACTAATTAGAAATCACTTCCTGGAAATTGAAAAAAAAAAAAATTATCTGTTTTTCAGCAAGAACAGGCACTTAACTTCCTTTCCTGAATTACCAGGAAAGGAAAAGATTCATTTATTTCTTGTAACAAAAGGCTTCTGAGCCCCTGCTAGGAGTCAGGACAAAGAGAGGCAAATAAGGTGTCTGCCTGCTGGAAAGCTCAGGGCTTCCTGGGGAGATGGAATTGATTCAGGGAAGGAAAGAGCAAGGGAAGGATTGAAGAAACTGCTTGGGGGAGAATGGGTTTCAGGAAGACTTCATGGAGGAGGTGGCATTCTAGCAGGAACTCCTCAGGCAAAGGTGCAGGGCCTTGGCAGAGAGAATGGGAGGAACACAGGCTCAGAGGTGGGGAGTTTGGCATCTTGGGATGCAGCAGAAGCATCCTCCGTCTCTTATCCCAGCCCCAGCAAGGGGCCTGGCACACAGTCGGAGCAGGACAAATGTTGAAAGAATCAAGGGGTTGTAAGAGCCGAGTGCAGGGCTAAGGGGTCGAACCTCGATCCTGTGGCCCATGGAAGAAGGCACAGCGAGGTTTGGTATAGGGTGTGAGGTCGGGGTCCAGCTTCATCCTCAGTGTGTGGAGGTCCAGTTCTCCCAGCACTGTATATATTGAAAAGACTATTCTTTCTCCATTGAATGATCTTGGCTCCCTTATTGCAACAAATTGACCATAACTATGGGGTAGTGCAGGGATTTGAGAGGAGGGTGAAAGGGCCAGGTCTGTGCTATAGAAAGTTCAGTTTGGTGCAGAGACTGGGAAGGGCTGGGAGGAGGGGTTGGAGGGAGGCTCTGCTGGGTGGGTGTGATGGGGGCTGGGGGTTCTGGGGAGAAGAGCAGGCCCTGGCTCAGCCCAGGCCCATGGTGGGGAGCCAGGTGCAGGGCTGTGTCCTTAGCCAAGGCCAGGTCAGCCAGAGTCGCTGGGGAGTGGGACTGGGGCATGTGGGGTGGCGGGGGGGGGGTGAGGAGAGCCCACGCTCTTTCGCCCTTCAAGGTCCACAAAGCGGTAAAATAAAACCCACCCCAGATACAGCCATTTGCGAAGTAGGTTTTCAGGTAATGAGAGGATTGTAAAAGCAAAACAAGGCCAATTACAGCAGCATTATCCTGGATTATAAAGCTTCTAAGAGGCAGCCCACACCTCCAGGCATGCTGTGCCTGGGAACGGGCAGGCTGCCGGGAGCCAGGCCCACCCCCGAGGCCTCTACTGACCTGCCTCCATTTCCCCAAGGAGAGAGACCCCAGGGGGGAAGGAGGACATCCACACACACAATTCTGAGACATTGGATATGAGCATGTGAAGCTGACAGGCCGTCTCTGAAGGAGTTTTGTCCTTCCATGGGCTTCCCTAGTTCTGGGGCCATCAAGTCTCTCGATGGCTCTTTCTGCCTCCCCCCCACTTCCCTCCCCTGGCCTTTGGAGGGTGTCACCCTTTCTGGGCTGTGTGACCTGTAGCCAGCCAGCCCCTCTGAAGGGCAGCTTCTGCTTTGGTAAAACCGGGCTACCAGCCCCCCCACTTCGCAGGGCTGTTTTCCGGATTAAATGAGAGACTCTAGATAGAGTCAGAGGAACAGAAACCAGCGCCGCCTCAGTGCCTCAGATCTGGCAGCGTCTGCTAAAACAGTGAATTTCCACACCCTGGGCCCCAGGAATCCCTTTTAGTCATTTCCTGCAGAGAAAGTTTTGCAGATGTGTCCAGGGAGGCACTTACAAGGATGTTCCCTGCAGCACCTTATGTGAGGTTGAAAAATCGTAAACAACTGAAAAGGCCTTCGATAGGGGCCTGATTAAATTAGGATCCATCCGTTCTGCAGAATCCTTCCCTGTAATTAGAGTCTGGCAGCTCCGGCGTGCTGTCTCAGGCGGATCCCCACCACGTGGGGCCCCGCGCACAAAGCGAGTGCAAACAACACCTACGGAACGGCTCCACGCGAGCTGTGCGGAAGCCCACACAGACGCCATATATTTTCCATGCTCACACGTATGTACATAGATGCAATGCAAACAGCGGCGAAGAAAACACTCCTGGATGACCCAGTTGGTTACCTCTGGGGAGGGGATTGGTGGGGAGGCTGGGAGGTGGCAGGTGCATCACAGGGAAATTTACTTTGCTGGAGTTTTAATGTTTTACCATAACATATGCCTCTGTCACCTGACACACACAACAAACACATGCTAACACCCAGCACAGAGAGGATGGCCCGACCCACGCTCAGTCAAGGCTCAGAGGCCATCATTATGACCACGGGTCAAGGAAGGGAGGGTCTTCCACCCTCATGCCCACGTCCCTAACTCTTGAAGTCTGAATTCAGGGTTGGGGAACCCCCTTGGGTGGGCAAATGACATCCCCCGGCATTCTGGAGGGACAGAGAGACACCACTCAGCCTGGCTGGGCTGAGGCAACCGCCCACCTCTCCTGGCTGAGCTGTCTGCCAAGAAAACTATTGAACTACATAAAAATCCATCCCTGAAATCCCAGAGGCATCCTTAGAATGGAGCATGGCCTTTAAATTAGAATGTGTTTAAAAAAAAAAAAAAAGAGCAGGTTTTGCCTATAACTAGCCTTCAGGTTTGAGAGGGCCAGGGCCCAAAGCGCCCCAGCCGACTGCCAGCACCGCCTCCCCCGCCCCCCCCGCCCGTCCTGGGGGGGGGAGGGAACCCTGCCCCCCTGAGGTTTGGTGTTATAACCAGCACGTGTTCCCATGGAAACTGCTGCCAGAATCCTCTGGAAATTTTTGCTGAGGAGGGGCCACCACTTCCCGCTCCCACTTCAGGTTCCTGGGCTTGGTTTCCCGGGAAGCTTTTCTCAAGCAAGTGCTGGAAGGAGCAGGAGCCAGAGTGAGAAATTTCTGGCCGTTTATGATGGAGGAAGCCGCTGGAGAGGCAGGCAGGGGGGCCCAAGGGTGTCAGGGGAAGCAGATGGAACCTTTCAGATGCCCTGAGGCTATGAAGGGGGCAGTGCTGGAGACCCCGAGCAGGGCAGGCGGGGGTGGGGTGGAAATCCCATCAGGGCAGGGCCAGGCCAGGCACAGGGAAGCACCCTGGACCCCTGAGATCTCCTGCCCTGGGCCCCGGAGGAAGGTCCTGCAGGGCTGTCCCCTCAGGACAGTCCACACCTGCCCTTCCTCAGAGCTCCCAGGCTCCCCTTCCCCCGCCTCTCCCAGCTCTCTCAGCCTCTCCCCTCCCAGGTCCAGAGCCCTTCCCTCACCTCTGTGCTTGCCCTGCCCCTACCCCAGCCCTAGCCAGCCCTGACCTGCCCACCTGAGCATGCTGCTTCCCAGGCGCTTGCTGGGGGCGGCTGCAGAGCCCGCCTGGGTCCCCACCGCCCAGGGAGCCTGACCCTGGGAGCAGACCCCCTTCCCACTGCCCCGGCGGCCTGTTTCTCCTGAAGGATGAAGCTTGAAGGAAACGCACACCTGCTGAGCCTCATGTGGGCCAGGAGTCCCCATCTGTCCTCTCAGAGACACTGAGTGGTCTTGATTGTCACTGGAAGCCAAGGCTCGGTGGGCAGCGACTTGCTGCCGGGAGGTGGAGCTGGGGCCCAAGGGCAGTTGTCTCCCTTCTCTGCCCCGCCCATGCAGAGCCCTCCGGGAGCTCACAGCCATGGCCCTCTCCAGCCCCTCTGCTCCTGTGCCAGCTCGTCTCTGAAGGGGCTGGGAACAAGTGCTCAGTCTTCTTTGCTGCCCACTGGGAGTCCCAGAACATTCTTCCTCTACCCTCCCTTGTGTCGCAGCCCTCTTAGGGCCCCGCCTTCCACCCTGCGCCCTCCTCCTCCTTCCTGCCTCTCTCCTCCCTCACTGAAGACCTCAGCACCTGGTGAGGTCTTGTCTACCAGAGGGGTGATGGGTCAGTGCCCAAGGGGGCTCACAGGCCACAGCTGCCCCTGGGAAGCTCTTCTAAGTGTGGTGGGAACCATGCAAGGTATCAAGTGGAGGGGTGCAAGGCCAGGCGTGGTCCTGTCCGGATCCCTCAGCCGCTCTGTGAAGAGACAGTGGGGCCGGGGCCGGGGCCAGGGCATGGCAGTGACGTCCCCACCAGGCCCCTCACTACTCCTGGAAAAGGCTGAGTCCCAGCAGCGGGTCTAGGGTCCAGGGGCTGAGGGCAGAGAGGCCCAGGGCTTGCTGGCTTCAGCTTCCCCAGGGGAGGCCACTGCACTGTGCCCCTCGGCCCAACCCTGGCCCCACCCCAGGCTGCTGGAGCCAGGAGCCGGGGAGCAGCCGTGCGCAGCAGTTTCGCTTTCCTGAGCAGCATGGGGTTCATTAAAACCCAGCTTCCTGGAGAGCCGGGCCTCACCTCAGCCCCGTGATCCCACTAAGAGCCCTCCTCGCTGCCTACCTGAAGGCCGGGCCCAGAACCAAGCCGGAAGGCCACTGGCCATCCCGTGTGCCCATGTACGCTTGGTCCGCCCTAGCAGAGGGACTTCTGGGGCAGCTCAGGAGGTGGGGAGAGGGGAGCCACCTGCCCAGTTCACAAATGAACCAACAGCGGGAAAGCAGGGAAGGATGCAGGGTTGGGGGAGCAGAGCCGAGAGCCAGGCCACGCTGACCCCTGCTGCCTGGGGATGGGTTTGCAGTGACACTGCAGGGCTGTCCTGTGAGGGCAGATGAGGGCGGTGGGTGGTGAGGGCAGCAGAAATGGCTCAGGGCCAGGCACTGAGGAGCTGCCCTCCACAGGGGCCCATGTGGGGGGACCCACCCTCTGCCTGTGAGCACCAGCCACACAGCTAGACACTGGAGAGAGGTGGCCTCAGGGTGCTGGGCCTTAGTCCACAGGGGACAAGGATGGGGCCTAAGGCAGAGACAGAGGAGGACTGGAGGGGCCATAGGTGCTGGTGTTGGGAATGGCCAGGCGAGGGGACTTTGGGGGCCTGGGCTTGGTGGAAGGAAGGGCAGCCGAGGCCCCGTGGGGAAGGCCCAGGGAGCAGAGGGCCATGAGCAGGGGCACAGCCAGCGCAGAGGCCAGGCCCATGGGGGCTGACCCGCTTGCCCAGCTCCTCTTTGGACCCCATCCCTCTGCCCTGTCTCAACACACCAGGTCTCCTCCTCCCCCATGTGCACCCAGACCCTCCCTGTTCCTGGCGCCCAGCCTGCTGACCGCCACCAGCCGCGTTCTTGGCCTCCAGATCTGTCCCTAAGCCTAGTCCCACCTCTGCGAGGTTCATCCTCCTCCTTGCCCACAGCCCGAGCCTCCCACGCCATCCCCTGCTCCCCCCCATGGGAGCCTCATGCCTTTGGCCCTGCTGAGCAGTCTGTCTCTGCTCTCCACTCCACCAGACAGGCCCTTCCTGGCGCAGGCTGGCACCGCATGCACCCCTCTGCCGGGCGGGAGGGGTTGTGGAGGGCTCTGGGAATGGGTGGCGTCCCAGTGAGCCCTTGGAGACTGAGTAGCACTTTGCAGGCTGGACCAGGCGAGGAGGGGCAGAGGGAACAGCCTGGGCGAAGGCCAAAGACAGGAAACAGGTGGGGGGAGTGCGGCTGGCAGAGGCCCTCGAATGGGCCAGGAAGGGCCTTGAATGCAGGGTGAGGGATGGGGGCCGCTGGGGCCTTACTCCTGGGACAGGTCAAGTCCTTCGGAGGGAGGCGCTGGCCCGGCCCCTGCTCCAGGAGTAGGTCCGCGGGCAGCCGAGCCATCCTAGAGGTTTTCATAGACCAGGTTCAGTTCATTGTCGTCCTCAAACCTATACGGTTTCTCCTGGACGAAAAAAAGAAAACAAAAGAGAGAGAGAGGGGTAATATTAGGTAGGAAAAGAATGAACTTGCACTAATTTACTTTTAGTCAGAGGCAACAGATCGCCTCCTGTGTAGCTTTTGGGGGTGTTGCCCCCCGAGACAGCCTCTTCTCCCACCACGCTGCCCCCGCCCTGCTCTCTGCCCTCTAGCTGTGCACCCCTCCCCTTCGCTGCCCTGCACGCTCTTCCGGCTGCCTGAGACCCCCCACCTGTTCCCTGACTGCCACCTACTCACTCTGTCTGTGGGGGCTCAGCTTACAGTGGCAGGGACCCCACCTGTCCCCCAGCCCTGGACAGGTCCCTCCCCAGAGTCCATCCCTCAGAATAGGGCTACAGATGTCTCTCTGTGTCATGGTGTTAGGGACCTGTTTCTGTAGTCTGAGGCTCCCAGAGGGCAGGAACATGCCCAGTTCTCCTGTCCAGCACCCCAGGGCCGGGCATAGGGCTGGCACTGCCTGAGATGGCCCAGACATCCTTGGGGGTCCCAGGGTGGGGAAGCCCTGCTTCCAGTCGGGGCCTAGTCCAGGACTTTGAGAATAGGAGATACAACAAATAGTGCCAGCCTGGGGCAGAGAAAGCCAAGCACTAGCCCCCTGCACTCCCCGACAACGCCTCCAAGGTGCCTGTGAACTTCTGTGCCAGTTAACAACACCTCGACTTTACAGTGTTCAAAGCTCTGGTGTAGCAGATGCAATTCACCTCGGAACTAATTTGAATTCAGCGTAGTTGGTATTGCAGGAAAACACCGCTCATCCACTTTACAGATGAGCAAACCGAGGTTTAATGGAGAAAGTGTGATTAAGTAATATGCTTTAGGTCCTGGCACGGCAATAACAGAGCCCTGACCAGGCCAGCGAGCTGGCACCAGTCACATGCCAGCTCCTGACTTTAGCTAACCCCAGCCTGGGGGCAGCTAGAAACCTAACACCCCTTGCCTGATGGACAGGCAGTGTAGACACTATGCCTAGTGGTAGTTATGATTGCTCACATTGCACGGACACCTACGGGGTCCTGGGCAGCCCTCTCAGCACAACATTCTATCTGTGAGGTGGGTACTGTTAGAGTCCTCAGTTTATAGACAGGTAACTCAGGCACAGAGAAGTCAGGTGCCTTGGCCAGGGCTGCACAGCTCCAAAGGGCCGGAGCAGGAATTCACACCCACTACTCCTCCTGCCCAGTGGACAGTTGCGTGGGAGAGGGCTGAGACTCAGCAGCAGGTGGCTGGTTTCCATATCCTATCTAACCCCACTTTGCAGATGATGAGGGGGTCAGATGGAATGAGAAGCCAGAATCGGTGTCCCCCTTCCCGGAGCTCGGAGCCCCAACCCCTGCATACCTGGGAGGGCGGGCTCCAGGCGGCGGGCGGGCTACCATCCTCACTCTCCAGGCACGCGTAGACCTCGGTCTCTTGGTGCTGCAGGGCCTGCAGGAGGCAGGGTGCCAGGGTCAGAGGCAGGTAGGCCAGGGGCAGTCCCCAGGCCCCATGGTAGCCTCCCACCCTGTCACACACGCCACTGGAAGGCCACATGCACGGCCACACCTTTTTGCCTGCATCCCCTTCCTCAGCCACCTCCCCCACCCCTGCCTGTACAGGGCTGATCCCTCTCTGCTTCCTGCCGCCTCCCTTGAGGACTCCAGCAGAGCCTGTGCTCCGCACAGTAGGCTCTATCCAGACTGCCACCTATCCGGCAAGAAGGACCCAGGCATAGTCCTGCCATCCCTGCCTGTCCTTAGGTCCTCCAGGGCCTGGCAGTCAGCAGCGCCTGCATGATACCTGTGGCCACTGCTCCAATAGGACACCCTCCTGCATCTGCCTTCATTCCCCTGGTTCAAAGCCACTGCCCCTGTGAGGGTCCCACCTACCCACCCACCCTCATCCTGTCAGTCTCCCCTGATCTCAACCCCAGCCTGTGCTCATGGATGACCCACGCACCTGCTGAGGTCACACTCTTCGCCCAACAAGCCTGTGCCCTGCTGGGGGAATCTGGAGCCCAGCCCTGGCTCTCAGCACACCCTCTCCCACTCCACCTGCCATCACTGTCCTTTCATCCCCCTCAGCTACCCATCCAGGGCCACCTGGGCTCCCATCAGTCCCCAGTGCTCCTCCTTGGAGGTCCCAGGCTCCCACCGCCCATTCTCAGACCACAGCCCCAGCGCTGCCCTCGCCCCTCCCAAGGCAGCCAAGGGGGTGTTGTGCTTGGCCGAGACCCCAGCCTCCACGGCTCCCTGCTGGGGATCAGATCAGAGCCCGCTCCCCACCAGCCCCCACCAGACTGGAAGCCCCTCGAGGACAGAGACCGTGCCTGGCTTGTCTCTGGGTTCCTGGCCCTACAGCTGTGCTTGGCACAAAGGAGGCGGCACCAAATGGGCTGTAGTGAGGGGCTCCTCGCCCGCTTGGGTGTGGTCCTCGGGCCACACTCACTCTAGGCCCAGCTACAAGGGGCCTGACCAGAGACCTGAAGGTGGCAGGAAGAATCCAGGCTTTGAAGTCAGACAAGACTAGATTTGGCTCTGACTCCTGCCAGCAATAGGCAACCCCTTAAAAACAAACAAACACACACACAAACAAAACCCTTTCTGTCTCAGTTGCCCCATCTATAAAACAGGAATCATCATATCTATCTTGCAGGCTTAATGCATGATTAAATGAGATATTGTGCGTGGAGGGCCCTGCACATAGGCAAATAGTAGGGCTTAATAAGCCACTGTTGAGTGATCATCGAGGGAGGTGTGATGTCTGCTCCCCCACCCCTGCTGTGGTCACAGCCTGGACCCTCCCTCAGAACCCACCAGGCTCTGGAGCACAGCCCACCAACAGCCTAAGCAAGAGCAAAGCCTTTCCTTCCCGTGTGCAAGCATACGTGTCATATGGATGCCGGCTGGTTGCCAAGGAGGCGGTTTCCCTGGCAACAGGCAAGCAGGGGTTGCCGAGGCAGGCTGGAGAGACAGGTGGTGCTCAGAGACAGGAGGAGGGCCGGGAGGTGGGAGGGGAGGGGGGAGGTGGAACTGGAGGAGGGAGGGAGGTGCCAAGAGGCAGCCGGGCATGAAAATCCGTGTAATAAACCATTTGGCACTTGGGAGACCCTCACTTCAAGGGCATCAGCCACGGGGATGATGGAGTGGCCCTAGGGACAAGTTCAAGGGGTCTCTGAGCCAGAAACAGGGTAGGTCTTGGGAGAGGGGCTTCCACCCTGCCTCTCAGTAGGAAAGGGGGCAGGGTCGCCCCCGGGAGAAGCCCCATTTCTGGTGGAAGAAACTTCCAAGGCCTGCTCTGGCCTGTGCGGTCTTCGTACATGCCCAGAGCATCAGCTGCCCCCAGCCTGGCACGGGGATGGGAGAGGCTCCTCGGCAGCCCTGTGGCCCCCACCCTCTGTCCACCCAGGCCTGCACCCGTCCAAGTTGGGGCACATCTGACAGCCCCTCCAAGCTGGACCCCTCTGAGCTGGACGTTTCTGGTCCCTTTTCAGAGAGAGAAGAGGGAAACAGCTTCTCTGCTGGCGTCCTGGCAGGGAAGCAGGTCTGGGGTCCCACCGGTGGCCCGCTCTCCTTCCTGCCCAGCTCAGATGGCCTGCCTGGCACGCATGAGCCCAGAGAGGCAGGGGGTTCAGGGCCAGAGAAGAGGACTCTGCCCTGGGACCCTGCAGCCTCTAACCCACTCGGCGGGCGGGCAAGGGGCTGCTGTCCAGCAGGCAGAGCAGGCTGCCGCGGAGGTGGCCACCAATTAGCAGCTGCTGAGTGAAGTCTTTGACAAGTTCTGACCTGCTGGGCTGCATTTGTATTCAGGGTGCGACCCGATCACCAGGCTGTGAAATGCAGTGTGCAGCCTTGTCAACAGGACACCCTCGGAGCCTCTGAACCAGCTCCTCCTGGCCCTCCATGGTGATGATGGGGACAGCCTCCCTAGGAGTGCCCGCCGGGAGAAGACTGCGCAGGCTTCCTAAGTGACCCGTAGGGCTGTGCCGGGCCCTGCTGTGCTGTGTTCAGGCTGGGCTGGGCTGGGCTGTTTGGCTGGGACCCAGGCCCTCCAGGCCCTTTTCCTCTTGCTGCCCTTCGGCCAACAGTGCTGGCCTGAAAGGTCGTCAGCCGCAGAGGTGGGAAGTCAGTGCCACGGCCTTCTCCAGGGGCTGAGGCCAGAGCCCACGTCAGCTGCCCTGGGCCTGAACCTGATCTGAGGGTCCTGCACGCTGGGGTGATGGTGAGCTCTGGGGTGCTGTTCAGAAAGGAGCTGTCAGTGGAGAAGGAGCACCCCAGCTCCAGGCCGAGGCGCTGGCAGCGGGGAGCCTCCGAAGGCTCTTCTGACCCCATCAGAGTCTCGTGTTAGAACAGCCCCTCGGGCTGTGACGAGGGGCAGGAGCGGGAGGGACTGGAGGGTGGGAGTGAGGACCCCCACCAGGCCAGCCGGCGTGGGAGCAGAGCTGCCAGAGGGAGGGTGCAAACCACAATGCGGACGCTCCGGATTTGCCACAGGGAGCCCCTTCTGTCCCCTCTGCCCTGCGCTGGGCCCTGTGAAACCCTAGACATCCTGGAAGGCAAGAACGGTCTTCTGCCCATCTACACAGCAGTTGGCCATGGGGCACCTGCTGAATGCACTGGGCTGCTGTGGGGTGGGGAGGGGGCTGGACACGGACAATAAGCCCCGAAGTAAAAGGCAGCTGGAGGCACTGGACAGACACAGAAGGAAGACAGGGCTTGGGGTGGGAGGCGGCAGGTTTAAGAAGGAGGTGAGGGAAGGCCACACTGGAAAGGTCCCGTGTGAGCAGATGGCTGGGCGAGCTGCAGTCAAAGGCCCTGCGGCATGGGCATGCCTGGTGTGCTCCTAGGCAGACAGAGCACATGAGGGTGCTGGCTTTGACCCTGAGCGAGACGGGAACCTGGGCAAGACTGTGGTGGTCAGGAGAATTGCTCCGCAGACTCCACCTCCAGGGATCAGAATCCACCAAGGGCTGGGCATCGCCAGCTGCTGGGCTCTGAAAGCCATCTCCGAGTTTGCACGGAGGCCACGGGCCCTCCCCATGCCCCCTCACATGTGACCTGCGTCACGGTGTGCTGGTCCACGGTGCAGACCCTCAGCCTTCCTTCCCGCAGGGTCAGACCTGCGCACAGTGGGACTGCCCTCCTAGCGCTCCCCAGCCCCCCACCTTCTCTCACGGGGTTTCTAATAAAATCGCTGCTCACTTAATCCCATCTTCCTTCTGCTCCTTGGAGGACCTGGGCTCTCCAAGGGCCCTGAGCACAGGGCACGATCTGTTGATGGTTTAACAGGATCACTCTGGGTGCTACCTGGTGGCACAGAGACCATGGGACAAGGATGGAAACAGGTCGGCTGCCTGGGGACCCCTGCAGGACTCCAGGTGAGACTCGGGAGTGGCTCCCGGCAGTGCTAGCACCGGGCAGTGAGGAGGGGCGGATTCCGGACACGTTCTGAAGCGAGACTCGCTGGTGGATCAGAGATGGGCAGTGATTGAAGGAGAGAAGGAGAGGACGACCCCAGTGTTTTCAGTCCGACCAGCTGGGAGGATGGAGGGTGTCCTTGAGAGGAGGCACTCAGGTGGGCAAAGAGTCGGGATTTGGCTTGAGAGTGGTGCTGCTTTGACCTGCGAGCAGAGTTGACTCTGCTGTTCAGTGCGCATGTCTGGGCTAGAGATATAAATTTCGGATCGGTCAGGATACAGATGATCTTCGGGACCTTGAGGCTGAACGAGATCCCCCAGGGAGGGGAGTGGAGATAAGGCAAAAGGGGTCCCGGGCTCCAACGCCTGCTCCAATGTGCAGAGGTCGGGGCTCCCCTGGTCCCCAGGAGGAACCAGTGAGGGCACTGGGGAGGCGGGAGTCAAGGAGGGCCAGGAGAGTGGACCGTGTTGGAAGCGAGTGAAGACAGTGTGTCAAGGAGGAGGGAGCGCTCAGCAGAGTCAGATGCTGCTGATTCTTCAAGGGAGGTGAGGACAGAGAGAACTGCCCATGGGGTGTAACAATGTGGCATCAACATGACCCTGGGAAGGAAAGTCCTGGTGGAGAGAGAACTGCAAGCTTGACAGAGAAGGTCGGAAAGGACAGGGAGAGAAACTGGAGGTGAGTGTGACAATTCTGGAGTTCCCTTACAAGTAGCTGCGGGGAAGGGGCAGGTAGCTGGAGGCGGATGTGGGCTCAAGGTGAGGAATTTAAGATGGGAGAAACCATAGCAAGTTTGTAAGCTGTGAATGCAATATTGTTTCCTTAACCCTAGTTTGCAGATTATGGAACCGAGACTCAGAAAGAAAGTTTAAGTAGCAGAAGCAGTGAGCAAAAGAACAAGGCTTCGATCTCTAGTCTGTCTGACCCACCCCAAATCCACGCTCTTAATAGGTCAAGTTTTTAAGTACAAATTGAAATAGTGCAGGTTTTTTTTTCATGCCATAATAGACCGTGAGTACTTTTCCACATGAATAAAAAGCAAGAATTGACATAATGAAAGGGAGAAATAGACAAATACGTTATCATACTGGTTAGATTTTAACTTCTCTTAACAACTGATAAAATAGACCAAAAAATCAATAAGTATCAAAAAGGATATGGAATATTTTAAACAACACAACCAACAAACTTAACCTAATTGAGATATGTAGAACACTCATTCAAACAGGCACCACACAAGTTCTTTTCAATTGCACACAGAATATAACCTGAGCCATAAAGCAAGTCTCAAAAGATTTAAAAGGATTAAAATCATGCAGAATATATTTTCTGATTATACTGGAATTTAGCTAGAAATAAAAAAAAAAAAAACAGAACATAACCAGAAAATAATCAAACATTAAGCAAAACACATTCATTTAAATAACTAGTGGGGTAAGGAAGAAATCTCAATGGAGATTTCAAACTGAAAGATAATGAAAATATGACATATCAAAACTGGTGGGATGCAGCTAAAGCCATACCTAAAGGGAAGTTCATAGCCTTAAATGCATAAATTAGAAAGGAAGAAAGATAGGAAACTATTCAAGTGTCCATCCAAAGAAGGAAGAACATACAAAACCTTTCCTGGAGGTTAGGAACAAGACAAGGAGGCCAGCTGTCCCCGCTCCTGCTGCCCGTCACAGTATAGGTTTTCAGCAGTGAGATAAAGCAGGAAAAACAGAACCAGAAGGTGTGAGCATTGGAAAGGAAGAAGTGAAACTTCCATTATTCATAGATGACATGACTGGGTACATAGAAAATCCAAAGGCATTAACAGAGAAACTATCAGAATTAATGAGTGAATTCAGCAAGGTCACTCTATATAAAGCCAGCATACAAAAATCAACCATATTCTCCATACCAGCAATAGACATTTAGAAAATAAAATAAAAATGAGGACACCTGTACCCTAAAGCCTTATCAAGAGGATCCAGGTGTAACGTCCCAGCACGGTGCCCGGCACATGGCAGGTGCACCACAAGTGGCTCCTGGTAGCATCACTATTGTAGTTAATGTCATTCTTCCCTGCCCAGGTCCAATCCCAGCCAGTAGACCCTTGTCTCGGGGGCTAAGCAAAGTCCTGTGGCCTCCCGTCACCTCTCCTTTCTGGTCCTCAAACCTCTCCCAGCCACCTTGCAAGCCTGCGGGCGGCTCAGTCTCCACTGCGCTCCAGAGAAGTCGGCCTGAGTCTCGGGGGACTCCAGACACGGGTGAGGAGGAAGCTCCGTTCCAAAGAGCTGTTCCATTACCATGACCTCACAGAAGGAGGTGCGTTCACGGGGAAGGATGGCCATGGGCTGGTCAGGGAAAACACAGCTGCACCAGTCCAGTTTGTTGTTTTTATAAAGTATGTAGTGAGAGTGTGTGCAGGTCTCCTGCTGTGTATTTATAGAAAAAAGCCAGGAAAGTATAGAAATCAACGTTACTAGTATTTATCCTGGAAGAAGACGGAATTAGGGTGCTGGTTATTTTCTTCTTTTATATATATCCCACACGTGTGTGTGTGTGTGTGTGTGTGTGTATGTGTGTGTGTGTAGAGTAAGAAAGAGAGGAGGGGGGGAGAGAGAGAGGGAGAACGAGAGAGGGAGAGAGAGAGAGAGAGGGAGAGAAGAGGAGAGAGAGAAATGTTTTCATTTAGCAGCTGACACCAGACTTCCTCCTAGAGAAAACACCACGCGGAGTGCTGGGCTCTGGGCGGGCAACAGCGCATGGGGAAGTCTGCAGCCACATGCAAAGCAGCGGCTGGTGGAAATTCCCTGGGGCGGAGGGGCTGAAGGCCCTTCGAGAACTGTCATGTTCCACTTGGAGCTGTCGGAGCTGCCTTGCAGTGACACTCCCTCCGTCTCCCTGCCCCCGCCCCCATGGCCAGCAGACATGGCCACATCCTGAACTTCTGTGTGGGGTTTTGGGGCCTTGGAGGAAGGACCTCAGTTCACGAGTGAGTCACAGCGGTGGGGACAGGAACAGCGGCAGCAGGCACAGGCAGAGTCGTAGGGCCAGAGGCAGCCTGAGAGCGTGCACCAGGGGTGGGGAGTCACACTCCCCAGGTGGCTCTCCTGGGACTGAGAGCCCAGCCCACACGGGCGGCATTTGTCACTTTCTCTACAGTAAGCATATGTTACTTGTAGAACTAAAAGAAACATAACTGGAAAAGAGTGTTCCTCGCCCTCTTTGGCCCCAGGCATCGGGCAGAGTGGCCGTGCACTTGCGGGGCTGGGCGGGCCGGGGTGGCCCCCTCGTCCCCACGCACGGCAGCCACCCCTTGCATAATGATGGAGACTGCTGGGGAAAATGCTTGGGACACGACAGGGTGTGGAACAAGCAGGGTCCCAGCCCGTGTCTGGCTGCCATTGGGACGATACAAAGCAATGTTCGTGTGTGGTGGGAAGAACATGAGTAATCGAAATCACCGATGTGTTGAGGGCGTGGGACAGCGCCTGACCTTTTCCTCTTTTTGTGATTTTTGGTTGTTGTTGCTGTGATGTTGTTTGTGCAATAAAAAGAGGAGGAAGTTGGTGAGCTGGTCACCATCAGTGGTCAGATGAAGAAATTTTTGCAATTCCTCCCCGTCTTCTGGCCTTGATATCTCTTGTTCCAGAGGTGAAGTGTTGTGCCAAGGAGGGGAACAGAGTGGCCCCCAACATTGGTATACCTTCCAGGGACCCCGCACAGGTAACCTCTTTTCACATTCATAGACATGGAACTATTGCCCCCATGTTTACAGATGAGGAACTTGAGGCTCAGAAAGGCCACACAGCTGGTACAAGACCAAGCCACAGCATCAGACCCAGCACCAGGCCCTGGGACTCACCGTGTAGACAGACTCCGCTGGGGGCTGCTTGGGGCAGCCGGCAGATCTAGGGTCTGGGCACTGCTTGCTGGGCTGCTTCCCTGGGATCTGCATCCGTTTCTGTAGGGAGAAAAAAGTCAGGGGTGGGGCAGAGCAGACCCCGTCTTCCTCCCCTTACAGCCCCCACCGGGGGAAAGCATGGCAGATTGTCAGGAGGCCACACAGAAACTCATCGCTCAGCACCTTCCACCCGCCCTCTCCTGGGAAATGTGACAAATGTCTCCAAGACCTACATCGAGGCGCTCACTCGTGCACCTGGAGACACAGGAAATGAACAAGACCCACACGGGCTGGGTGCATGGACACAGCGCCTGGCTCAGGACAGGCGGGAGCTGCAGGGCCTGGGGCCAGCGTGGCAGGGACCCAGTGATGGAGCCAACTCCTAAGGGTGGGTCCTGAGCAGGCACCAGCCAGGCCCAGCGTCCAGTCCCCCTGTGCCCTCCCTGGCTCTGGCCTCGATTTCTCCAGCAATAGCCCCCTTTGGCAAGATTGTTGCAAGGATCCAAGGAGGGGATGAGGGGGTAGATGCTTGGCACTGCAGTGGCACTTAGGAGGCTCTCGGTCAACCGGTACACACTTGGCAAGCACCCGTTGGCCAGGCAGCGTGGAGAGGTTGACACTGCCCCTGCCCTCCTGGAGTCCGGGGTCCAGGGGAGAGACGCACGATGACACGGAAAGGTGGTGCGCGCTGCCCTGGCTTGCGGCACGCAAGGAGGAAAGCAGCGTCCGCTGGGTAGGGGCTGTTGCAGGTGGAATCCGACAGCCGAGCCGTTCACTTGGCAAGACAGGGAGGGGGCAGTTCCAGGCAGAGGGGACAGCCTGTGCCAAGGCCGGGAGATCCTGAGGCACTTAGAGACGGTCAGCGTGGCCACGGAGAGTGTGGACGGGGGCGGGGTGTGTGTAACCTCTGAGGGCTTTAGTAGGAGGCGCGGGGCTCAGAGCTGGGCTCTGGCAAGCGCACGCTGGCGCTGCTAGCGGTGGCTGTGGAGGCTGGACGGGCCTGCTGGGCCGTGCGGGCAGCTCCTACCAAGGCAGGGGGTGGCCCGGACCTCCCCCCGTCACAGCCACCGCACTGCCAACCGTGCAGCAACGGCAGCCGCATCTCGAGGCGGGAGCTAATTAAAAACCCTGGCTGACTGCCAGTCCCCTGCCCATTTACTCTGGGATTAGCTCTGGAGAGCCACTTAACTCTCAGGCAGAAGCCAGAGCCATCCCAGCCTCGGCACAGGCACGGCCCAGAGCCAGGGGCGAGGCCGGGCTGCAGGCACCTGGCCCGCCTCAGCCCACGCAGCCCTCCCGGACCTGCAGGCCGGTCTTGGTGCAACGTCTCTGCCCTGCACAGGAGGCAGCTCGGGCTCAGAGAGGGTGGGTGACTTGCCGAGGCCACACAGCCAGGAAGCAGCAGAGGCAGGATTTGAACCCAGGTCTGTGTTTCACCAAGATACTGACCAGGCATGAGCTGGAGTTTTCGCTCTTCTGTTCTGTTAGAATGAATAGGTCTCACAGCTACAGTTAAAGGGACTGACACCTGTGCACCATTTCGCAGTTTACAGAGACCCCTGGGACTTGTCCTTATTTTCATTTAATTCTCATGAAGACCTCAGGAGGTGGGTGTGGCATTGCCCCCAGCTAGTAGGTGGCTGCCCTTGATCAAGCCCAGATGCCCCATCCTCAGAGCCAGTGCCGCCTCCCCTGCACCACCTGCTTCTTGACGGTCGTGGGCAGAGGCTGTGGTCCCCCACAGGGTACCTCAATGCCTCCTCTTGTTGAGACAGCCGGGGTCCTGGTGCCTCCCTTCACTGAGCCGGCTGGCCCAAGCACTGCCAAGCTGAGGGGGCAGCTCATGGGCAGTGGCTGTCCTGCAAGGCTGACCTTGGACAGGACAGCTCTCTGGGTCTGGGCTACACAGGCTAGAAAACATGGCCCCAGGAGCTTCAGGTCCCTGTGGACAACTCTCGCCCACCCACTACATGCCGGGCCTGGGCACAGTGGTGAGTGACACCCAGGCCTGGCCTCGTGGCTCTCTCGGTGAGACTGGTGAGGTCACCAGGGGGTAAATGCCACTGCAGGGTCCTGGGAAGGAGCCTCAAGTGTGCAGGCAGCTGGAGTGGACGTCTCAGGGCTGCCTTGCGGCGCATCTCTTGCTCTCTGACTCTGACAAAGTGTCCCAGGCATTGGGAACAGCACGTGGAGCAGCTCGGGGGCAGGAGAGCGCAATGTGTCAAGCACTGTCAGATGGAAAGGGAAGGAGGTGAGCCGGGGAGGCTGGCGCGGGCAGGACCACGAAAGGCCACGGTGTCTCTGCTCCGAGGGCAGTGGTGGCCGCCAGGTCAGGGAAGTGGCCAGGTTCGCATTTTATAAGGCTCCCTTGGCTGCCACAGGTGCAGGGGACTGAAGGTTGGGGCTGGCAGGGGCAGGGGAAGGAGACCTCTGGGAGTGGGAGCCTTAGGGGACAGCTGAGGAGGCCTGGGCTGGGGCAAAGGGTCCCATAGAGCAGAGTTTTCCCCTGAAAACTCAGACAGGTGTCATTTTGTTACAGGTGCCAGGGGTGCCCTGCTCCTTGGAGCCAGCCCTGCCCATCTGAGCACCCTGTCCCAGGCAGTCAACACTGGCCCTTTCACTTGCATTTTTCAAATGAATAACCAGTGTGGCTCCTCCCGCTATGCCCAGCTCTGTGTGCCCAAGCCACTCCGCACCAGTAGGCAGTGGTGGGGAGTCACCAGGCCTGGGCCAGGACACACCCCCTGCACACCAGGGTGCCTGTTGGGCCTCAGATTCCTCCTCTGTAGAATGGGGCGAGAATGGTGCCCTGGCCACCTCCAGCTCATCTTCCAGGTCCCCTCGTGCATTTGTTCCTTCATTCCTCCCACACTTACTATGGGCCAGGCTCCCCCAGGCACAGGGACACCAAGTCCTTGCCCCGCGGGGGCTGTGCTTTGATGGGGGGAGACAGCGTGAAGCTGAGGCCAGCGTGTGGCGGCAGGGGCGGGAGGCAGGTGTGGAAGCAGAGGCGCTACTCGCTACTCCTACTCCGGGAGAAGGATGACAGGGGGTGAAGGATGAGCCTGGGGATGGCGGGGACAGGGGGACGGGGCTGGATCCTGGACAGATGGGGCGGGACTTGCTGAGGGGGCAGATGTAGGGGTGAGAGAGAAGAGCCCCCTCAGGCCCCACGTGGGGTGTTAGGCACGGTGGCCCACGGTCTGGGGCGTGGGCAGGGTCTGGGGAACGAACCGAGGGAGGGAGTGCGCGGTGGGGGAGGGGCCGTGTGTCAGATGCCGTCAGAGGGCAGGGACAGGTCAGACGTCCTGGCAGACTGCCTGGACCTGCTCCTGTGGTGGCAATCATGGCAATCACTGCCTCTCGAGAGGGCTGCCTGTCCTGGTGCTCCAAGTGTCGCAGACTCAAATGGCACTTCTGCCCCTTCCACAACCCGTGACGCGGCCCGCTGCCTGAGCCCCGCTGAGGAGACAGCACAGAGGCGCTGAGCCCGCCAGGCTCGCGGCACTGGGGAGCAACAGGACCGGACTAGGGGCGACGGCCGAGTCTGTGTCCATAAGCCCCCCGCCCACTGCCGCTTCCTTTTCTCTTAACATGGCATGAGTTTAACTGCGGCGTCCTCCCCAGACTGGGAGGCTTCACTGTGTCCCTCTGTGTCCCCAGCCTTCGGTACAGGGCCTGGCACATAGCGGGTGCTCAGCTCGTGTCTGCTTAAGGAATGATGAACGGATTTAACGCAGACCGTGAAAGGGCCCTGCAAGCCGCAGCCCCTCAGCAAACGCCGGTGGGGCCAGGGTGCAGCTGGCCGCACAGAGCTGGCCTCGGGGGGGAATGGAGTGGAGCCAGGGGACCTGTGAGTGATAGGGGTGGAGGCAGGGAAGGTGGCAGAGGAGATAGCCAGGGGGCCGGGGAGGGCCTCTCTGAGGAGGGCCACTGGACCTGGTTTCTGTGTCCCTGCCCAAGCTCTAGGCCTGGCCCCGTTTCCAGCACCTCGTGGCTGCTCGGTAGACGTTCGCTGAGTCGTGAACAAATCAAGAGCTATCCTACTTGCCATCGTCCTGGGAAAAGCAGGGAGAGGGAGGGAGGGAGTGTATTGAGGGCAGGAGTGGGGGTGCAGCAGGGAGAGAGGTGGCACTTGGCACCTGGCAGGGGCACAGCCGTGCTGGCTGAGGGAGGAGGTGGCCCAGCAGCCGGTGGTCTCCGTCCTAACTCTGGAGTCCTGGAGGCTGAGGGAAGCATTTCCCTGCCCTTGTTGGGTCTTCCCTGCTGCTTAGCTCGTCCCTGTGGCTGGGCCAGAGGTGGGGACAAGGACCTGCCAAGGGGACAAGGCCCTCCCAGGACTGCACAGTGGTGCCCAGCACCTGTGGGCTGCCTTTACAGCTCATCAGCAGGGCGAGTCAGGCCAGGGTCACAGGGGCTCCTGCTGCGTCCCGAGGGCGCGGTCTGGGCCAGGAGAGGAGCCCGCTTCCCGGGCACTGGGAGGACCCGGCTTCCTGGGCACCAGCTCGAGGAAGGCAGAAAACGCAGCCTCCCGAGGCTCTTGGGGTGAAAAGGGGCCCAGCTCTAGCACCCGGAGCCTTCTCTGGAAGAGCGATTACGTCTCCAGCCTTAAGACACGGACGGGAAACCGAGGCTGGTTCAAATCCCAGGCCTGCCAAGTGCGGCTGTGTGGCTAAGACCCTGTGGCTTCCTTGCCCACCCTTCCAGGCCACAGCCCGCAGGGCAGCCGCCGGCAGGCCCTCCCGGACACAGCAGAGCAAAGCCACAAACAGCCAGCTCCGCAGACTGCGCAGTGCGCCGCCCCTCAGCGTCCCTTCTCCCTTCGCACCACCTTCAGCCTCGGCCCCACCCACCCGCTCCCAGGCCCCGCGCCTCCCTGGAAACCAAGTCACATCCTGTCCCCCTCGCTCTCCTCACTTATAGGAAGAGCTAAAGTCCTTCCAGCACCCTCACCGGCCTCATCTCCCTCCCTCTGTCCCCTCTGTGAGCGCGGGCCACTCGCCAGCCACACGGCCCGCAGCTGCTGGAACACCCGGAGCCTGCTGTTCCCTGCTGGACATGACGTGCAGCCTCCTGCCTCCTTCCTTCTGGGCGCTGTGTGGGGAGACCCTCCTCGACCCGTCCCTTTTATTTAAGAGGCAGGGAGAGTCTCTCCAGAGTAGCTGGGACGCAGGTGCGCACCTCCACGCCTGGCTAATTTTCTTGTCTTTTCTTGCCCAGGCTGGTCCCAAACTCCCAGCCTCAAGCTCTCCTCCCACGTCGGCCCCCAGAGCGCTGGGAGTGTAGGTGTGCTCTCGGCTGCTGGCATGAGGGGTCATGGGGACACCTGCGGGCAGCCCCTCTGCCCCGGGGCTTCCCGAGCCGTGCGTGCGGGGACGGCGCCGTGCTGTGTGCGTTCGCCCGTACCTTTCTCCAGAGCAGCAGAGCCGTGCCCAGGACGCTGAGGACGGTCAGGAGGCTGGTGAAGCCAAAGAGCAGGGCCTTCTGGGCGCCGTAGGGGGGCTCTTGGTACCCCGAGTCTAGGAGAAGGGGCAGCGAGCAGAGGAGGGAGTCACTGGGAGAAGCGGGGTTCACCCTGCTCCACCAACCCCAGATGCCCAAAGCCCTGTGTTCTCCTCCGCCAGGGCCATCTGCAACACTCCCCAGGAGGCCCCCAGAGCTCGGCGCAGTCCTCGCCGGCCACCCGCTCTGCGAAGCCGCCTTTTTTTAAATTTTTTTTTCAGCATATTATGGGGGTAAAGATTTTAAGGTTTCAATAAATGCCCACTTCCCCCCCACCACAAGTCTGAGTCTCCAGCATGACCATCCCCCAGATGGTGCACATCTCACTCATTATATAGGTATATACCCGCCCCCCTCCCCCCTCCCACCTGCCCAATACCCTATTACTGTAGTCTATATGACCACTTAGGTGCTGCTCAGTTAATACCAATTTGCTGGTGAGTATATGTAGTGCTTGTTTTTCCATTCTTGGGAAACTTCACTTAATAGTATGGGTTCTAGCTCTAACCAGGAAAATATAAGATGTGCTATATCACCATTGTTTCTTAGAGCTGAATAGTACTCCATGGTATACATATACCACATTTTATTAATCCATTCTTGGATTGATGGGCACTTGGGCTGTTTCCACAGCCTTGCGATTATGAATTGTGCTGCTATAAACATTCGAGTGCAGGTGTCTTTTTTGTAGAGTGTCATTGGATCTTTCGGGTAGATGCCCAGAAGCCGCCTTTTTTTTTTTTTTTTTTTTTTTGAGACAGAGTCTCGCTTTGTTGCCCAGGCTAGAGTGAGTGCCGTAGCATCAGCCTAGCTCACAGCAACCTCAATCTCCTGGGCTCAAGCAATCCTCCTGCCTCAGCCTCCCGAGTAGCTGGGACTAAAGGCATGCGCCACCATGCCCGGCTAATTTTTTTCTATATGTATATTAGTTGGCCAATTAATTTCTTTCTATTTATAGTAGAGACGGGGTCTTGCTCAGGCTGGTTTCGAACTCCTGACCTCGAGCAATCCGCCTGCCTCGGCCTCCCAGAGCAGAAGCCGCCTTTTTGTGTTACTGCCTTGATTCTCACTGTGGGCATGGACCACACCGCTTGCTCTTTGCTGTCCCTGCCTCAGTGAACTGGCCTCCTTGAGGGACCCTGGACGAGTCATTTCACCTCTTGGGGCCTCTTCTTTTCCCTCTGTGTCATGGCGGTACGGGCAGGTGGGAGGGTTTGTGCTGGGACTGACAGAGGGCCACCCCCGGTAGGTGAGGGCACAGTGCTCCTCCTCAGCCCTCCCTCCCTCCCTCACCCACCCCCATCCATCCATCTGCCTGGCAAAGACTGACGGAGTGCCCGCCACACACCGGGCACGTCAGTGCCATCACCACCACCTCCCAATGCCAGGCGCCAGCCCTTACACGCACCCTCTCATCCCTCCTCATGAAAGGCATCGAAAGGCAGAGCATCGCCATGAGGACCAGGGCCAAGCAGCAGGATGGGATTCAAACTCAGATCTGCAGATTCCAAAGCCCCAGCCCCTTCCAGTGGGAATCGCAGAGCAGGTCAGAGAATCACCGCTTTGAGGATGGGCCCGTTCTTAACTTTTGGGGTCACCACACCTTTGAAAGTGTGATGAAAACTAAAAGTCTGTCCCTAGAAAGATGTACATAATCCGGGTGCTCACGTACACGAGGCCCCCACAAATACATATGTGCACGTGCCCAATTCTGCAGAAGCCCAACCCCCCGCCCCCCGCACTGTGCCGATGAAACACTGAGACCAAAGGGCCAAGTGACCTCTCTTGGGTCACCTGCCGGACGTGGCCAGGGGCAGATCACATGCCAGCCTCTGCCCTTCCCACGTAAAGGTGGAGCCTTGGCACCCCTGTAAGGCCGGGGCTCCCTGAGGGTGCTCTTGCAGCTTTGCCGAAGCAGGAAGACCAGGCAAGCCACCCGTCACTTCAGATCCTGTGCCCAAACTCTGCCAGTTGAAACCTTTGCCCGGGGAAGAGCCACAGAGGGAGCCTCACCTCTGACCAGGATGAAGATGCCATTGCTGCGCACTGTGGATCCGAGCCAGTGGACAGAGCAGTAGTAGATGCCAGTGGCTGATGAGTCCTGCAGCGTGGTGTTGACCTTGCACTTCAAGGTGGAGGTCTGGTTCCCTGTGCTCGGGGCAGGTCTGCAGCTTATCTTCTCCTCAGGGCTCATCCGGCCCTGGAGATCTTCATGAAAGTAGCAGACTGTGACGTTTTTGAATTTGTTCGGGTAGGTGATTATGCAGCTGAAGGAGACAGCCTTGTTGGCCAGGGAGACCACAATGGGGAGGCCAGTGTGGATCACTGACTGTCCTCCTGTAGGGGAAGCAGAGGGAGAGAGTGACAAGTCACTGGGGGCTGCCTCGGTTCTACCTGCTTGCAGGTGAGGACTAAGGCCTGCACCTCCCCCGCGCTCACCTGTGCAGGTGCAGCTCCGACTTCCTGTGCACTCACTGTGTGCAGGTGCAACTCACACCTCCTATACACCCACTGGGTGCAGGTGCAACTCACACTTCCTATACACCCACTGTGTGCAGGTGCAACTCACACCTCCTGTACACCCACTGGGTGCAGGGGCAGCTCCCACTTCCTATACACCCACTGTGTGCAGGTGCAACTCACACCTCCTGTACACCCACTGGGTGCAGGGGCAGCTCCCACTTCTCATGGACTCACCATGCACAGATGTTGTGCCAGGCACTTGACACACTGCTCCGCCTCTCTTAATTACTATACCCCCGAGGAAGAGTCTCAGGTCAGGGAGGCGGAGCCCCTTGCTCCCAGCCCTCAGCAGGTATGGGGCGGAGCTCCCGCCCTGTCCCGCCCTGGGGCACTGGAGCCCACCTCCGAGGCCCTCTCCTTTCCAAAGGCCAAGCGGCCACGTTGGATCAAAGCACAGGTCTGGGAAGATGGAGAGCAGGTGAAGAATGAGAAGTACAGAAGGAGGGAGGAAAGCAAAATAAAGAAACGCAAGCGCTTCCCGGCAGTGAGTAGACAGGGAGGGAGGCAGGTCTGCCCACGGTTCTCTGGTGCCAAAGGAGGAGGCGCGCAGGCAGCAGGAGGGACAAAACTTTCCCGGAATCTGAGCTGGGAGAGGATTTGTCAAGCTTTTATATCGTATAACAGGCACCATCCCTGAGAGCGGTTTTTCTAACACTGCAGGGTGCTCCATCTGCTGTGACCAGGACGCTCAATGGCCATGACAAAGCAGTTCTGCCGGACCCCCTTCCCTCCCCTCCCCAACGAGAGGCTCTTGGAAAACAGTTTGAACCTGGTGTCCCAGCAGCGGCCCTGCCTGGCTGGGCCTCTGACCCCCTCACCACCCCCCGCAGGCTTCTGGGATGCTCTCAGATTCTGGCCCGGGTCAGGCGCACCCCCAGACTTGAGCTGCACGCAGCCCCGGCCTCAGTATTCCTGTCCCTCTGGACCCTTCCTTCTCCAGCAGCCCAACAGCAGACAGTTCTAAATTGAGGTCGGCAGCAGGCAGCCAAGAACACGCAGGCCGGGTTGTTAATCGGGAGAAGATCGGCGTTTGAGCCGCTCAGAGGGAGCCGCAAGATTTATTTTGTTGGGAGAGTCAGACGTGGGCCTCCCGCCTGTGGCGAGCGGCTGGCGAGGGGCCAGGCTGGTCTCTTCCCACATCTCCTCAGCTCAGCTCCAAGCCCGAGCCCTGGGGAGGGGGTCCCCAGGGGAGGCCAGGCCTTCTGGAAGACGCAGAGGGAGGGACAGAGGTGGCTCTTCGTGCCAGTTAATCCCTTGAAGCCCCGGCCACACAGATGTTCTGAACTTGGTGTTAAGCCATGAAGCAGACACCCCTCCCTCCAAGCACGAAAGGCACTCACAGTCCCAGGGAATCGACTGGCTGCCACAGCGGGTCGGCTTTGTCATAATGGATATGACAACGGCGGAATATCCACTGAGCTGGCGCCAGGCCCCCCGTCCCACGGCTCCCCTCTGGCGGGCAGAGTGGGAGAGGATTTTACACCGTACTTCGTGGCTCTGGACTCTATCTCAGGATTGTCATTAACAATCACAATATATCAGTTTTGTCATAAAACAAGCAGCGTTGATTCAGGGCAGAGGTTTATCTGAGAAGGAAGTGGCAGGGGCAGGGGAGGGGTGCCAAGGTACGGGTGTTGCATGGTACCCCAAGGTCCATGGGCCAGAAGGACAAGAGGCAAGAGGGGTGGCATCAACTGCAAATGACTGAGAACACTGCTGGCTGCACCGGGGACCCCACCCTGCACACACTCTGTGCACCTGCCCTGCGGCCCCCTGACCTCAGCCTCCGTCTCCTCACCTGGCCAACTCCTGCCTGGTTGCCCAGACTCGGCGTGGGAGCCGTCGGCCAACTTTTATCTGCATCCTCCTGTTTCGTTCTCGCAGCATCCCTGGGCAGTTGGGGCAATGCACCGGCTGGTGTTTTCTCGTGGGGGACAGGGTTGGCACCTGACCGAAACCAGGCGGATGGTGGCCACGCCAAGGGCACTCCCCCTCCCCGGGGCCCCCTGCTCCTCCTCATGGTGTCTCTAGGAGGATGGACACACTGTCAGTACAAAAAAGCCACCTTCCTCTTTGTCGTGCCGGGAAGACATTTGTCCAACTGTCTTAAAGAATTCTCCCCATTCGAGGTGTCCTTTCAGAGGATGATGGAAGTTGCTACTGCAGTTAAGCTGATCTTTACGATTCTGGGGAAATCTATGAAAATAGAACATCTATTGTTCTACAGCCTTCTGGGATTTGTTATTTTAAGGTGAGCGGGTCAGTGTCATGAAAATGCGTGGCCCCAGCTCAGGCCTGCCCCGGCCAGGAGAGGCTTTGGAGCGAGAACCTCAGACCTCTGTTGTCGCCAAACGGTGAAGACAGGAAGCATCTCTGACCAGCTCAATCAATGGCGACAGCGATCTGGAGACAGCGGGCCAGAAACCCGGGAGGAAAGGTCTGCGGTTGCACCGAGTGCTTGGGTCCTGGCCTGGCAGTGGAGCTAATCGCCTCCCCGGTCCTGAGCTGCCACTGGGCTGTCGGCACCCCGGCGTGGGCCACAGCAGCTGCCTGGCTCCCACCCCCTATCCTGGACATGTGCCGCCAGGAGGCCCCTCCTGGGGGCCAGGCTGTGGGGTGCTGCCCCCAGCCGGTGTAGACAGGTACATAGTCATTTCCAAGTCCTCGAATTCTTTCCACCCACCATTTGTTTTGCCTCCCACAAACACTTAAAGGGTTCCAGTTAGGTACCCTGGCAGCACCCCCAGTCTAACAGGGAAGGGTGGTGTGGAGCAGAGGGAGCCTGGGGTAGGGCTGGCGCTGGGAGCCACTGGGTCCCTCTGGGCAGAGGGTGGCATGTTGGTGACCTGGAAGCAGGAGCACACAGACAAGGGAAGGAAAGGGCACAGAAATGTGCCCTGGCTGGGTGTGACAGGTCCTAGGTCAATTAAATACCACAACAATCCTAAAAGACAACTATTGCAACCCATTCTGCAGACCAAGAAACAGAGGGTCTTAGAGGCCCAAGGCCACAGAAGACATGAGTAGTGCGGCAGGGTTTGAACCCACGTTAGTCTGACTGTGCTGAGGAAGAACAGCCAGCACCCGGGCTGAGAAGCGGCCATCAGATATGGTGGGGCGTTTGTGGTGGCACCAGGCACAGTAGCCATCAGACACTAAAAACAGGTTTGTCAGACCCTGCCGGACGCCACAGATTTTCACAGTCAGATGGCTGACAAGTGGCTGGGTGGCTCCAAGATCACACGCAGGCCACAGCGGGCAGAGAGGGTGGGTGAAGAGGGGCTGGGGAGAACTGCAGGGGCCTGCCCTGGGGGTGTCCCCGCCTCACCCCAGGCTTAGGGGGGCTGCAGCGGGACCCTCCCAGAACGCGGGGTGTGTCCTGAGTGAGGGCACTCTGGCTGCTGCCTCACACCTGGTGACGGCTGTGGCTGCATCACGCTTTGTCCCTTGCTTTGCAAAGGCAGTGTGTCCCCCACGAGACAATGTGAGCCAGGCCGGGGAGCTGGCTGGGCACCACCTAGATTGGCCCATGCAGCTGCCTAGAGGGAGGAAGGCTGGGGTGTCTGGGAGGGCCACACCCACCCAAGGGCTTGGCTGTTCCTTATGTAGTCTCTAACCCTCCCCTGCCACTCCCTACCCCCACATGACCACCAGAGCAGATGTCCCCAACTGGGCGGCACAGACTACCCCTGCCAAGCCTGGCCACCCAACTTTGCAGGAGATGGCGTTTTCAGGGGGCCAGTGGGGAAAAGCCCAGGTCTGGAGGCAACAGGCCTGGATTCGGATCCTGGCTCTGCCTCTTCAAGGCTGTGCAACCTTGGGCTGGTGCCTTTACTTCTCTGAACCTTGGTATCTCCCCTGCAACACAGGGACAGGAACAATGCCAACCTTACGGGGTTGTAGTGGGACTAAACGGGACCAGAAATTCAGCATGTTTGCCACGGGGCCAGGCTGCCTTGCCCTAGGGGACAGGGAGGAGGCAGGGACGTCCTGGAGTCCTCTCTGTGAGTCTACAAAGGCAAAGGCCAGCCCTGCCCTTCTGCCTGCTTAAGCGCAGGGCACACATGCCCTGGTGGTGGTGGTCCAGGCGTGACAGGACCCCAGGGGCCTGGTCTAGAGGCTCCCCTGCCTGGGTGTGGCGTATGCCGGGCTCTGGGTGGGAAGAGCCGTCTCCCCACAGCCCTGGGCTGTGTCTCCCGCCTGCCCGTGCCACCACCTCTGTGCGTTCGCCACCCACCGTGTTGGGAAACAATTTACCACCCGCTGGCGCCTGAGTCCTTCCTTTTCCGGTTCTTCTTATGCATCTGTGGCCGCCTGAACTTGGGGTTTGAGAGCTGGGTGGAGTTGGTGCCCTCCCCCCCTGGCCTGGGACCCCTGCTGAGTCCCTGGGGGCAGCGATTGGCAGGCAGGGAACCTGACCCCGGGTGTGCCAGTGCCCAGCCCAGCAGCTGCCCTCCGGTCACCAGCGTTCAGGATCAGATGCCCCCTCCCAGCCCAGCAGCTCCCATCACTCATCCTGCTCCTGCCCGCCTGAGCTGGCAGCGGCTCCCTGCAGGAGGAAGCCCAGGAAGGAGACTGGAATCAATTTACAGGGTTAAGACAAGCAATTAAAACACAGAACACGGAGCATTTCACGCGTGGTAAGGGCACTATTTGTGACCTTCTGGTTTCAGTTATATTCATGCAGTCGGGTGCAGACAGGGTCATGCTAAAGCATGCCTCTCTTAACTTGGGGCCACTGTTAAAAACACTGAAAGTCCCTGGCCCAGAGGATCCAGCCCTTCCTCCCAGGCCCTGCCTAGCCGGGCTCAGCC